CTGTACAAGACAATGTTTTCAGTCGACCTTTCAAGGAACATGTTGGAATTTGATCTATCCAAAGTGGAGATTCCAAAGAATTTGCAGATTTTAATTTGGACCTTAACCATAATAGGATTTTAGGAAGAATTCCGGTGGGGTTCACCGCCGATTTTAATCTGCAGTTCTTCAATGTGAGTTATAATAGGTTATGTGGAGAGATTCCGGTGGGAGGGAAGTTGCAGAGCTTTGATTACTCGTCCTACTTCCACAACAACATACAAGTGCTTATGTGGGGCGCCGCTACCAAGTTGCAAGTACGGCCAACGTGTGTGATAATATCAGCTTCCTCAAAAGTCATAAGCAGCTTTCGTGCTAGCTGGCCTTCAGTTTTCCTAAAATGTCAAAAGTTAAAATTCTAAAAAATAGAAAAAAGAAAAACGAAATTTGCTTTGGGATGTTGTAAGTGCATTTTATAAGGTCATCAAACAACAAGTGGAAATGTGCTCAATGGGATGTATTAATGATTATATGAGTTTGAATTTTCATATTAAAGATTTCAAATTTAAATTTTGTCATGGTAAAAGGAGATTTAGAAAGTGAGGGGTTAAAAAAAAAAAAAACTATTTTTTATTGTAAAACAAAGAACTCCCAACACAGCCTTTGGCATCACTTTAACTTCCAACCCAGTCCAAACTTGGGTACTTTTTTGTTTGAAAGTAATTCTTTTCTGGTCTAATTAAAAACAAGTAATCTAACTTGAGAGATTAAAAAATTCATAAAAATTATCATATCATTAACCTTTTCAGATAATCGAATCTCGATTAACAAAGTAAAAAGTAAACCTTCTTACTAAGCCGCAGCTTATTTGGTAAGCATTGGAGTGTGTAATTTAAAGATATTTTGGGTTCATTTTTCCTGTCTCTAAGAGGTTCTACCCTATCTTAAGCCTCTGAACCGTTTACAGAACCGAGTTACACATCTCAACTGCAAAATGTGATAAAAAGTTGAAACTGGATTGCCATACGGCCAAAGAGTGATTCACTAATTCAAGAGGTGCTTTCAAAATATTTCTTAGAATCTTGTACATTCTTTGCTGAAGTGATAAATCATAAAGTTGCTGCATCAACAAGCAATGAGAGCTCATCCATACTTGATGCAGATCGTTGGAAATCGATATGCATAGGTTTTATACTTTTATCAAGAGTGTTTTGCAGTCAATCATACGCGAATTTCAGGTGTGTAAGTTTATTTGAATATGTGAGATTCTAAGTAACTTTAAACTGATTGGTTTTAAACTGATTGGTTTTAAAGTTATGACATATTTGGTCTTTGTTAAAAAAAAATTCATGCACGGATTGCACAATTGAAAACCTCACTATCAGTAAGGCTCTTGTGTGGCTCCACGAGACTTCATTGATTGTGGAATCCCTAATCGTGTACCGGGCACACAAAACGTACCACAAAATATCACCCTCTAAATAGGTACTCCGGTACAAGCTTTTTGTTTTGCTTTACATATAAAAGCTGGAAATCCGATCATTAAGTGTTTGTCCTATAATTCAAATTTAATATTTAAGTTTTGAAATTAATATTTAAATAAATAAAATTTTTTAAATAAATTAGACTAATATAAAATTATGTCTAAAGAAGAATTAATTTAGACGCATATAAAAATTGATGTCATAATATTATATTAGTAAAAACTTAAATAATTTAATGGTAATTTTCTTTCGTTGAAAATAAGATATTTTGAAATTGAGTCGATTAGTATGCGGATGACATGAAATAAAAGATATGAAAGGGTTACTTTCCGTTATAACTAATATAAAATATATATATATATATATATATTCTATTAGTAAAAACCAAAAGAAAAAAACTCAACGTATTACATTGTCAATTGTCCAGAATTTTCCTTATAAAGTATTTCAAGTTTCAACATCATCACTTCATTATCACTCGATGCAACACCATACGCATCTATTGCTACCTACATTGCTCTATGTTGCTTGTTGACAATGTCAAATTGTTTGAACCTTTTTCTTTTGACCTTTTCCCATTTTATTTTGAACTATATGAAACTATAATTTCTCGTAACCTTTTTTTTTTTACTATTACTTCTAACACGGACAAATATTAGCGAATTTAGTGCACTTAGTGGAGAAAAAATAAAAGCCCTATTATTTTTTAAATAAAAAAAGATTTTTTAACTTAAGGCTAAAATTTATTAATAAATAATTATCATTTTATAAGTTCGTGATTTAAGTATTGGTGTTAACACTTAAGAATATTAATTTTTTTTAATATATATCAAACCAATGTAAGAGTGTATTTTTAAAATTATACGAGGAAAAGTTGGTTCAAGCACACACTAATTGTAAATATTAAGAAAAAAAGGATTTTTTTAACTTGTAAGATATATGTTAATGATGTAATTAATATATTTTTTAGTTTTTAATTTATATGAAAAAAAGTAAAAGTTGATATTAATTTTAATGTCAATACCACTTAAAATAATTTTAATTAAATAGTTGATAAATTAAAATTTAATTTTTATTTTTGCAACACAAATGAATTATTAAAAAATATTATTAATTTGTGCAAAATAATCCAATAATAAATTAAAATGTTTTTAAAAATATGTTATATTATTAATTATCCATCGAACAATTATAGTCAACCAAATTAACAATGGCTCTAACGTCAAATTCAAAGCAATATTTTTAAAGCTCATATTCGCGTTGCTAGTAGAAGTGGATTCCATCGATCATTTATTAATCTGAAGGGGAAATGAGATTAGTTATTTTTAAATAAAATTTTGAATTTAAATTTTGTAAATAAAAAAAAAAGTATTGAAAGATGTTTTTTGTTTTAAGACCTAATGCAATTTAATTCTAAATTAATTGAAATTCAATAAAACTTTTAAATAATAAAGATTAATATATAAAAAATAAATGAGAACTCCACATGCATATTTACCACAGTTGGTAATCATAATGATTAAATCAATTGATAAGTGTCATAATATTATAAGTTAGATTTAACGTTAGGGTTTTAAAATAAGGGTTTAAATTGAATTTTTTAAATATATTATGCTATGTGAAGAATTATTTTTAAAATTTATTAAAAAATATTAATTTTAAAAAATATATAAATTAGTTCAGAAGCATTCTAACTATAAAAAAAAAAAAAAATTGCCATATTTGCAAACGCATCTAATCTCTAATCTTTTCTCTTGGTTGACAATTTCATTTTCGCTGGACATTTCTTTTGCCATTTCATTGATCGCGAACACAGGAGGAGGCTTCATCTGACCTAAAATTTTTTTTTTTTTTGAAACAATTTTGACATTATTTACTGGTATATATGGAGGAGGGGGGAAATGAGTTTCATAGGGTTCAAATACACCACACACGGAGGTGAACAACCATACTCAAGATCTAATGTCACTTGACCGGAACTAGCATTCGAACTAAAAAATTCATTAGTTGTAGATCTTTATAAAAAGTATATTTCTAAATTTAAAGTGTTAGATATATTTAAATCTCCTTTCTATATTTATATATATTTGAAAAAAGAAAAAAAAATCAACACAGGAGCAGGCTTCATGCAGCGAGTCCCGTCCGGAGGGTTGTAAT